TTTTCCCACTTAATTGGTTTTTTTTTAAAATGCCATTGAAAATCAAAAAAAAAAATAAATCCTTTACAATCGAGATCACTTGAGCTTTCAGAAAAATTGTAACACGAAAAAATCGGAGCAAGTTCACCAGGAAAAAACATGTCCTCAAATTCTAGTCTGTGAAGAAAATGAAGAAATAAATATCATAATAAAACCAATAACTCCCTCGCTACGCTCGGAATCTAAAGTATTAATAATACAAAGTTACCACTAAACATATTTCGGCATATGCCTTCATCAAGTTGTATAAAATTCTGAGTAAGGCGAAGAACCTTAACATTTTACAAAGATTTTTATTTTTTAACTGTGCGCAATTTTTTTACTAGAAGACTTGCTCGGATTTCTACGTGTAGTATCATTTCTGAAAAGAAATTAGCTTGGGGTGGTACGTAAAGGAGATGTTTCGATTTTCCCAAGAGTTGTCGCAGCAAATGTATAAAACCGTAATAAAACATGGAAAAACGTAGGAAAACTGGAAAAATCGGTACAAAATCAAACAAATATTATTAATATCATTATCAACTGAATTCCGCTCAGAATCGTTTTGTCGTAAGCAATGGTTTATTGTTGCTTACAGGTATACTTTAAATTATTAAATTATCTATACCACTGGGGGCACACGTCCCCAATATCGTAGAATGTCTTTTTTATATTTAAAACTATAATACATAGTCACAACAGGTGGACAAGGTTTTTGTTCTTGTACGTGTAAATCTAAAAGCCATTGTTAAATATTAAGACGTGCAGTTTCCATTCATTACCTTTGCCATGCTATTTCCGCCGGTTATCGTATAGTCTTTACCTGCTGAAATTATATAAGGTGAACTATCGGCTCGAAAAATGTAAAATTATTAATTAACATGTATTTAAATCTATTAAAATACTGTATTACGAGGACATAAATTGTAACCTAATATTCNCAAGAAAGGATCGAACACATAACTTGGACGCAGCTCTTGGGCCAAACCATCAGTTAAATACAGATTTAATTAATCGTCTTAAGCAAACCAATGTGTACCACGTAATTTAAAATTTAACAATTTATTAAATATCAACAAATGACCTAATATAACATAGTGTAAATAAACGTAATATATTATATCTAACTTGAATGCAAGCAAAACCAAACATATTACTAACTAAAATTAACTAATAGCCATTTCTCCTGACGTATGAGATCAATACAAAAAAATCAAAAAAAAAAAAATAATAATAAACATGTATAATTGCCTAATTTAATTTAATTTTTGAACAAACGATAAATTTAATGAAAATTTTTTTTATTTTTATCTTTTTAGAAATTTTCGTTTATCTGTTTGATACGTTGATGTATATCTTTTCTTTCTTTTGCTGGTGCGTACTCCAAGCGTTGAGTCATCCATTCTCGAATTCGATGTATAGTATTAGTTATGATGGAAAATGTATACATATATAAAATGACGTTTGTGAAACATAATTTATAACCATACCTTTCATTTATAGTTTGTTCAGGAATCAGAATCAAAACTACAATATTTTCACACATTATAAATAAAATAATCTACGTATTTTCCCAAAATTCCATCTAATAAAACATTAAATAGTTATTTTGGAAAAATTCATTTACGAATCACCATTATAAAGAAATGCAAAAAACACGAACAATACTATTACTGCATATCTAAATCATGTATTTATTTTTAATTCTAAAATTAACAAAGCAAATATATACTTCAATATATGTAACTGACGTCAGAATAAAAAAACAATATTTTCAATTAATTTGTAACTGTAATTAAATATTTAAATTCATTTTAGGAATATCCGTCATTTACAACTGTGTATTTCTCACAGTCATATACATAATATTCACAAGAGGTTATTGATCAACCGAGAGCCACGATTTATGCAGCGGATTTGTTAGATATGAATAGTCAGTTCACGTGTACATTAACAATTCAATTTACAACAATCCATCTTTTTAAATAATAATTATTTTCACTACGGCAATAACAATTGATTGCAAAAGATTAATAGATAAAATAATAAAAAAAAATATTTTTACCCTTGAAAATCAGCTTTTCCTAAATACCTAGAATATTTACAAGAATTTAAAAAACTTATCAGTCTATTGTACCAACAAGAGTAAAAATGCATTTAAAATGATCTCTTGCAATGTTTTGATTATAGCAAAATTTCTAAGCGAAAAATTGTATCTAAAAAAAAAGACAAAAAAAAAACTGTCCTAGGATAATGGGGACTGGAGCAGCCACTGTCGTAGATGAGAAATTAGGAAGGTAGGATATAGAAGGGAATTTAATGTATAGCTTTTAGCAACAATAATACATTGTTAACGAAAAAACGATTCTGACGGGAGTTCAGTTGATAATGATGCTTTGTCAACAATAATTATGACATACTAATAAATAAATGGGCATTATATATTTTTTTTATTTTATATTTGTTTATTATTGATCCGGTTTTCCCATATTTTATCCTTGGCTTTTCCATTTACTGCGAAAACTTAAAAAATCGAAAAATTAGCTCTCTACAGAACCTCTCAGATTTTCTTTTAGAAAAAGTGCCATCATTGTAAATCGTAGTAAAATCTGATAGAAAAATTGTCCATAAAAAATTAAGCTCCTTCGCTCCGCTCAGAATCTAATAGAACTACTGTGGACGAGTGCTGCCACTGTTGTAGGTAAGTAGTTGAGAACGTGGGATGTACTAAGTTATTTAATTTATACCTGTAATCAACAATAAATCGTTGCTAACGAAATTCGGTTCGGAGTAAAGTCTCATAGAGTTATTCGTCATAATAATGTCTAGATTCAAGTTCTAATTTTAGTTTTAATGATATGGTCAAGTTCTTTCCGTGTTGAAGATATTAAGGAGCGATGTTAATAGGCTCGTATAATAGCTGGCGTTGTGTGTGCTCATATAGCCACTTAATTTTTGTATTTGTTACCTATTTTAATTGTCTAGTCAATTTTACATTCAGAGCTAAGCAATAACTATAAGTAAAACGGAAAATAATTACCACACCGCATAGTTACCGATTCCATTATTTTAAATTTGTATGCACGACGATTTTCACCAGAAATATTGCTCCATATGAAAAATGACAATGGATCGATTTCGTTTCTATTAATATGTAATCACTGACAAAGAGAATCATTATTTAATTTCTAAAGTATTTTTTTTAATATTTGGAAAATACCATAAAAGGCCAAAAATTACAGAACAACGATTACACTATCTAATATTTGAATATTTATATATTCAGCCATCAATATTAGCGCAGGAATTATTTTCCAAGAGGAGGAGGCGAAACATAAAAAACCTTAACGCAATTACGGGTATACATATAATTACAAATATATATATATTTGTGATTGATAATAGAAAACTTTTCTGCCCTGAATATTCAGTCCATTTTTCATATTTTAGAATATGTTCTCATCAAAATTCTAAATTTAAAACATTTCTCGAGTTATGATGTATTTATTGTAGGAAAAAATAATTATTATTCATTTAATGAAAAAATGATAAAAATCATTCAGTTTTTGGTTTTTAAATAAATTGATAATAATGGTCACTTTATAACTCTTGGATCGTGAGCAATATCATAAAGAAATTTTGGCAAGCGATAATATATTTTAGTATTTATGAATAATTATAAATATACGTGAGCAAAAGTTTTAAAATGATAAAAACGATTCAAATTAACCATTAACGCTGTTTGGTTTTTCATTTTAATTTTTAAAAAGGCCGAAACATAACAATAATATTATGAAACATATTATCTTTTAGATATAGCTGAGTTTAAATAATTTATCAAAGAAATGATAAAAGTAATACGTATAAAATTCCAATTAATAGTTCAAACTCATGGATATAATAATATTGTTCTCCACGTTATTTAATAGTAAATGTAAAGATTGGTTTTAGATCACTTTGTACGGTCGGTTAAAAAGGTAGAACGCAAAACGCGCGGACACGCTCAAAAGCTATTGCTAACTATGAGGCTATAGCACACTGTTCATCGGATATAAATATGTGATACATTAATATTAAAATAAACTATGTGGAATGACTATCTTAAAATCTTAAAATTTTTCAAAAATAAGCCTGTATAAATATACAATACATATTACCAATTGTAACTTGTATACAATTCTATAAATTATTTTAAATTGAAAAAAATCATAATTTTAACATATTTTACATGTTTAAGGAATATTAACAGAATATATTAATGTTATTTTTTAGAAAATATTAGCATCATATTTTAAAATTTAAGAACCTAAAAAACCGCTTCTTTTTACCTATACGATAAATACAAATTTCCAAAAGTTGATTTCCTTTGTGAAGTTCTAGAAACAATTTTTTTGGGTATTAACTTCAGATAATTCCAATAGATTTTTAATGCATATGTAAAAATATAACCATCATACGATATATATATTGTTGACAAAGTAACAATATCAAACGAACTCCACTCAGAATCATTTTTATTTTGTAAGCAATTATTAATCGTTGGAGATATACATTAAATTCCAGTCTATATTCTACGTTTCCAACTGCCCACCTACAGCAATAGTAGCTACACCCGTTCCTAGTATACTAGAACACCTTTTTTTAAATTTTTCACCACTAGGTACGACCTATAAATTATAATAAACCTTCTGTTTAATTTTCAGGCATTTCCGTTAAGTGTTACAATTTTATCCATCGAATACTTACTAAGCATAAATTACGTATAAAACCCTCACAAAATTAAAATATCCATAAATAGCTCAAAAATGACGGAAATGTTTTAAAAATTTTATCACGTCTATATAAGTTTTTTTTAAGAATCACGTTGTATACACACTTAGTACGGCACACTAGCGCTCGAAGTTTTCGACGACAAATTCGAGTTGAAGGTCAACTCGCCATGTATAATACACACACTCCCGTTCGTTTGTTACAGGAATGCACGAAGACTGGTGTCCGGGTAACGTAGATTTTACAAGGCCCGCACACCTATAATAATTCATACGATTGATAATTGTTGTTGCATTTTCTACAGTTTCCATCAAAAAATACGCAAGGTAAAAGACAATCCCTATTATTTAATTATTGATTCGCTACGCTCCGAATTGCTTCAAGCAATTATTATTTATAATTTATATTTATTATTATATTTATTATATTTATTATATTTATTATTTATAATTACTTTTGTCTTGTAACATAAACGCATAAAATAAGTATCTCAATTAAAACTAAATATTTTCATTTTCAAGCCACTATATTTGATAAACCAATAAACGATTAAACTTATTTTCGGTATTATTAAGGACATTCTATTGATATTTGATATCCATTATATTATAATTAGGATGCAGATGTTTCAAGGTGTTCGTTCATTATACCTCAATTATTCAATGTTTGGATTCCCAGCGAGTGGGACACAGTTGATCGTTTTTACAGTGTTTTCATTTTTGGCGATATTGTTATGTTACGACAAATGGAACCGTCGGCGCTATGAAACATTAACTAACGAATTGAATGGTCCTCCGGAATATCCGATTATAGGGTCATGCTTGGAAGGTATTGGTGGTAAGGGAAACAAATCATTTTATGTTTAGATTGTATGTAGGTATACTTAATTAATTTATTAATATGTATTTTATAATAACTAGATCACTACGAAAAAATAATGTTCTATGGAGATCTATTCAATTACGGCCTATTTAAATGTTGGTTTGGTAGTTATTTAAGTGTTTTCATTACTAAGCCAGAAGATCTTCAAGTAAATAAGTTGTTAAATAATTACAATATATAATTACATAATAATAACATTTCTATAGAACAGGCCTGGGTTATAGGCCATCCCCTGAATCCCCTTGAATACCCCAGAACTATATGTCAATAAATTTAGTTCCAACCTTCTATATGAATCAAAAGTTCGAATTTCATTATTAATTTAAATTTTAAAATATATGAAAATAATGATATTATATGAGTTACACTTTATGGATAAATAATTTCGGATTGAATATTTTCTTAATATATCAATACACGCGAATATATTTAGTATACGCACTTAATTAATTTTAAAAACTCATTTGTTTCAGATTATTTTAAATAGTTCAAAGGCCTTAAACAAAGGCTATGTGTATAAGATGGCTACTAAACTATTGGGCGAAGGTTTAGTTACAACCCCAGGTTCGTGAATATTAATTATAAATTTACCATAAACAATCATAAATTTAATTTATCGTATTACTTACATAGTGATGTACAGACATAAATTTAAATACGTACTCTTTATAATCTGGGTAAACTGACCTACTAATATTTGTTTTTTATAATTATTATATATTCAAAAGTAGACTATCCTAATAAATTATTAGTTAGTAGAATAGTTAGTAGTCAAAAGATCCATCACCGAAATCTTCGCATTACTTAAATGTCTTTATTAATATTATTATAGTAGATAAATGGAAAATACATCGACGTTTGATGAATCCTTTATTTAAATATGATATTATAAAGGAAAAGTTTTTCCCAATTTTTCAAGAGAAATCAAAAGTACTAGTTCAGAAAATACAAAAGGGAGTAGATAATACACAACCGATTGATATCTTGGATTGTATATCAAGTGTAACTCTCAGCACAGTTTGTCGTAAGTATTCAAACAACTTATTATGATAAATGATAAATGTAAAAGTGGTATTCTTTGTACCAAACTATTATACTTTCAGTGAATATAATATTTTTATTTTCGTTTATAGAAACAACGATGGATTACAATCTTGACACTCAGACAGATATGGGTTTCAAAATGGGTGCAATAAAGTAAAACATTTAAATAATGAATTACTTAAACACAAATAATTCAGTTAGGTTATGGACTAATATAATAATTTTTCTACAGAGGCGTAGAATTGGTTATTAATAGAGTATCGAAAGTTTGGTTATATCCTGATATAATATATAATCTTTATATCAAATTGTTTGGCTATGGAAATATATATAAAATTGTGCGAAAACTACCGAGGCATGTATGTGTATGTGAGTTATAACATTGGATTTACGTTTTAATATGAATTTGAATTGTTCAGATAATCGAGAAAAAGAAAAATGATTATGTAAATAAATTTTCAAAGATCAACACGACAGATACAGATGTTAACGATGGCCAAAGTAAGTGATTGTAATAATAAACTACGACCAGAGAGTTTTTAATTAACCAAAGTGTAGGTTGGTATCATGTTATTCGATTGTTCAAATAACTGTGTATTTCGCAGTGTATTTGATATATTCATCAGAAATGATGGATATGAATTTAATAATTACATAAGTTACTACTACTACTAGTTGGTTTTACCTCTTGTATTGTTTAGGCGAATGTTTTAAAGGATTGGTAGAAACTTTATTGGACTCAAACAAAGCTGAGGAGAGGGTTACCGATGAGGATATTATGGGTCATGTTATGACTATGGTAGGCGCAGTAAGTTCAAAATACTTAAAATACTATTCAATCGCAGGTGGCGAATAATAATTATATTTATAGGGTTTCGAAACCACTTCATTGACTGCTAGTTTTTGCTTTTTGATGTTAGCTATCTATCCAGATATTCAAGTAAGTCACCACTTAAAAAAGTTCGATATTAAAAGAAGTCTTAAACATGATATTTTTAGGATAAAGTTTACGACGAAATTTATAGCGTATTGGGTGACAGTGATGAACCTATTACTATGGAACAAACGAATAAGCTAGTTTATTTGAAACAAGTTATATACGAAACCCTCCGTTTATTCCCGACTGCACCAATTATATCGAGACAACTTCATGATGATGTCACTATTTGTACGGACATAATATATACTAAAATGTATTGAATAAATTTATAAAACAAATATTTTTTTTTGTTTCAGGTAATCACACACTGCCTAAAGGAACAATGTGCATTATTTCTCCTTTGATTACGCATCATAATCCTGAGTTATACTCGAATCCCAATTTATTTAATCCGGATAATTTTAACGCCGAGAACGTTGCCAAACGTCATAAATATAGTTTCATTGCTTTTAGTGGTGGTCCAAGAGGCTGTATTGGTATAAGAACATATTAAACATATAATTTTCAAATTTTTTTAACATTTGTATTCAATTACAGGAATGAAATATGGTTTGGTTTTTTTGACGGTTATAATCACTGAAGTTTTACGGAGATTCAGTGTGCACACGGATATGAAATTCAGTGATATTAAGTTAAAATTAGGTATAACATTACATAACACCGTTGGTTTTCCTATAACCATTAAATCGAGAAAGAATCGTCATAATGTGTGTGATAATGCTGAAATGCTTAACTATTAAAAATAGTAAAAATAAAATAAAACCTATTTGTTTGACTATAGACATATGGTTTTTTTTTTTTTTTTATGCCGGTTGTATAAGATAGAAAATTGAAAATTAATTATATTTAATCTTTAAAATTTATTCTTGTTAAATTTCAAAAGTTCTTTGAAATTAGACCAAAGTGTTTTTATAACCGTTGTTATTGTATTTACATAATTACCCTAATAATTTAAGCCGGATTTAATTGACATTGGAACTTTTTATGGCAATAAATATAAATCAGATCTGATTAAATGTATAGTCGATACGTACTAAAAATATTCAGTCTAGTTAATTTTATAATGCAATTTTTTGCAAATTTCCCACGTTTCTAAATCTTAGGCGTTCATCGTTCGTTTGGAATTTTTTAGAAGCTTGCAGAGCCCAGCGAGCAATAAGTNATCTGTGTCTACTGAAAAAAAATATCCATTAGATCATCATTCCAAAACAAGTAGGTTTTGTATTTTATGCTCATACCACACGTAATAAACTACATATTATTTCAAATATACATTTATGCTTTTTTAGTTAAACACATAAATGCATTGAAACGGAATAAAGAAAAAAAAACCGCTTATGATTACTACTCAAAATTCGAACGGTAATAATGTATTTCTTTGAAGATTTATGTAATGCATTTGTTGCTGCAAATATTCCTTTGAATTAGCTAGGCAATCATGTGTTAAGATCATTTTTTTGGAGTATTGAGTAAAGTTTTCAGATTTTAAGAACTTTTGAAAGGAAACAGTTCCATATATATTTCTAAAATCAGAACTGCTAAAAATTTGTTGTAGTTCAGTTTTCAGTTTTTGTCATCAAAATAATATGGATACACATTTGTTGTTTGATTAAAATATTATTCGAGCAAATGTTTAAAATATTTTTCGAAGTTTTCAATAAATAAATTTAATGCTAAGAAATGAGCGGTAAAATTAAATCGTTCTTTTTTCTTGAGACATAATGAAGTCACAAACTTCTATGGCTCCTTGTTTAAGTTCATTCTTTTTCTTTATTTTGTTTCGCTCATTAAAATTTTGCATAAACATACAAACACATATTTTATCTATTTTATTTCTTATATTTGAAATTATATTAGTAAAAGTATCAATATTCAGTAATTGATTGTATTATATTTTTAACATAATATTACGGAAAATTGTAAGCCAAGAAATCGTCTTTCAATGTTTTTTTTAATCCCAGAGAGGCTTGCTGAATAGTAGGCATATGTTTAATAGTTTCATCATTTATAATATTTTCCATACATTTAATTAAATCTTTCCTATACTCAAAAACCGTATTAACTGTTCGAGAATAAAAATTCCATCCTGTCTAAGGGACCCTAGGTAAACATTTATTTATTACTCCGTCTAAAATGGACGCTTGTTGAGAAAATGTTAAAAAATATGTACATAAACTTCCTAGATTGATAGAAAAATTCTAACATTTCTATTTATTGATGCAGAATTGTACGTTACTAATTTAAACTGATGATCGTTACAGTGGACATAATGAACACTTGAATAATCTTTTTGAATCTTTGTCCAGTCGCGAAAAAAAACATCAATTTGGTACAAGTCAAAATACCTATCTCGGTAGTTTTGGAGTTGGAGAAGTGGGGGGCGAAGATGGTGTTTTTAACATGCTTGTTTGCGAGTATACGTTTGTGCAACATGAACAAAATGCAATTTATCATTTCGTCGATTATTTACATTAATGTTGGTAATTTGGTGTTATAACAATATTTTGAACGATAACTGTGCACTAACAAAGTTGGTTTTCTCCTTGTCTGTCTCGCCGCGTAATAGGTTGCACAACACAGCGATTGCGTACGATTTCGACTATTCAGTTGAATTTGGGTCAAAGGCACCTATTATATACAATATATATTTTTGTATAGTATTTTTTTAGTAATTGAGTAAACAATAAATCTACCGTGTATTTTATAATCTACCGGACATACCTAATACCTAAAGGATACAGATAGAGAGATAAGGAACTAATTCACGGCCAAAAGTCGGATAGCTTTGCGGTTAAACGGTTAAGGGTTGCTATTAAGGAAATATTGTACTTTACAAATTACAATGGCAACAAATGAATGCTTTCATTGCTTAAAAACTTAAAACTTCTATTTACGCACTTTCACGGGTGATAGTTAAAGGTTGAATGATCTACGGTATTAAATGTTGAAAAAGAAGAAGTAAATAATATCGATTTTGAAAAAACTGTAAATGTATTTACGACCGTCTCGCCAGCACCGCTGGAGAGACGTCTCCCCAGCACCGCCCAACGTGAAAAATTAATGATATTAAATAAAAAAATCTTCTGCCAATATTTAGCGCATGATTGCCATTAATTTGCACGACAAATTCCGAAATTCGGATGCGTCTTGTTCACGAGTAGAACCGCTTCAACTATTTCGCTTGACTCGCCAGCACCGTTGGTTATTTAAATTATACAATTATTATTTCATAATATGTTGTAAAATATATGATAAGTTGTATTAAATGTTTTATTTAAATAATGATTAAAAAGTTACAATAATTTGACACTGATAGACTTAAGTATAATGTCCATCATGAATCGCTTGTTTAAAACTTGGTTGACACGCGTGGTCTAACGTGTAGGTACTAAAATATTTGAATATTTTGATTAAAATAGCCTCTATCAAAAAGAATATTATTAAACGCGTATCTCTGCATATCTAAAATAGCTTCCCTTGAATTACGTATAAAGCCACACGACTCGTGTACTCGGCAATTAATCGTTAATCGTGGAGCTTTACGCCTTTAACGGGTTGCGTAGGTGTTTAATCGTCAAGTTCAACAATTCATTTTTCTCGCCGAGTCACTCGCGATTTCTCGCCGTTGTCGGATCCAACAGGAGGGACCCGCGCTGACGAGAAATTTAATCTCGTGTTTTCCCTTAAAACAGCCAATTATTGTTAATACCGTTATTGATATTATTGTTAATTGTTGTTAATATCGTTATTGTTTTTATTGTTAATTGTTGTTAATATCGTTATTTTGAAAGTAGTTGTGGTTGTCGCACACCATTCCCACACGAACCGTGCACTTGTACGAATGGCGAAGGAAATGTAAAACGATTTGTACCGTGGTTTGAAGCTTGATCTGGGTAATTTCAACGTTCGTCGACATCGCAATACCGTATTGTTTTGCCTATTGGTCACTAGATATAAATATCATCAATCTTTTTTTTATTTTTTATTTTTTTTTTTATACGTACTAGTATCCAGGTTTTTGTTTTATTCATTATTCCGATTTCAACGTCGTGTAGAAGTCATACGTTTTTTCCTGGTTTTGAATTGGGCTATTTAGTTCGGGCCAACTAGTTAGTTTATGTATACATTTTCTATTCAATATTAATTCATTACTAATTAAATATGGCGGGTCGAAAAGCAGCTATCCCACCTCATCAGGTCGTGGATGCAGTTCTTCAGTTTAAAGATCGTATAAAAGCTGAAGTCAACAGTGAAAAAAGTAAGTAGATTATAATTATATTTTTATAAACACTTATAATCGGAATGAAATTAATATTTAATTTATTAATTAATACTTAATTAAATTAAATTAATTGACTACGTAAATGATAAATTAATCATGTGTAATAACTGATAAGTAAAAAGTGCCGGACCGAAACTTTAGAAGCTAAAAATTGAAAAATATGTGCAATATAATTGTAAAATATGCTTTGGAAAAAAAGTCAAATATGCAAAAATATTCAAAGTTCCGAAAAAAAAAACCATTCAATGTTGTTATTAATTTGAACTAAAAGGAATTTAAATCATAGGAAAAAAATTTTTAAGTCAAAAAAATTAACACTCAAATGATAATGACATCATTAATTTGAATCGGTTTTTTCGCGAATGAGATACGTACGAATTTCGAAATCTTCTGTGCAAAATTATGCTAATCATGTGTTAAATATTAGCATAAGAATTTTTTTAATATTATTAATTTTAGATTCCGAGTGTAACGTAGGAGCTATTGGTTTTACAATTCTGTTTATTTCTTTTCTTTTAATTTTTGATGTTTGTTCTAGTCTGTGAATACGTTTTTCCTAGTGAACTTGCTCCGATTTTAACGTGTACAAACTTTTCTGAAAACTCGAGTTGTCTAGATGGTACTTTAAACGGGTCATTTTTTGATTTTCGATGCCATATTTTAAATAAAACCACTGAAGTGGAAAAAAACATAGAAAACGTACAATTTTTTACCAGAAAACCAGTTTTAATTGAAAAATCACACGATAGCTTTTTTATTTCCTTTTTGATACACGGTATCATCGCCGAAATTTTTGAGCTTTTAAAGAATTTTAATTTTTGGAAGTTTTTCTTGTAATTCGGTTATAAATACATGTAAAATCTTGAAACTTGGTAATAATAGTTTTATTGGACTTACCTAGACGTGATAAAATTTCCAAAATCATTAGACGACCTTTTATGTTTTTTAAATTTTTTTACAATGGTTCTATATTTTTTTTTTTTTTTATATATTGTAGACAACTTTTATCATCGAAAATTTTCTCCGATGTTTAAGTGTTGTACTTTTTCTGAAATTCAATTTAATTTACTTAGTAAATTTTTTTTATCTTCGAAACGATATTTAAAATAAAAACGATTAACCGAGAAAAAACTACGATTATTTTTCACGATTTCGTTATTTTAAATAAGTACCTATTACATTTTCTAGCACAAATATAGCTCCAATTGAAATACAAAAAGAGACCATATTTTTGTTAATTTTTTTTTTTTCAATAAGCATTTCGAAATCAAATTAAATAAAAATTGAAAAAGAAACTAAGGCACTTCAAATTATGTGTACCGAACCGCGTTTGGAATTGTCTTTCATCAGCAATGGTTTATCGTTGCTTACAGATATAAATGAAATAATTTTATGTAGCCTACCTCTCCCACTTCCCACCTATTACAGTGGCTGCACCCGTCCCCAGATCAGTTCTTTTAGTTTTTCAGCACTTTTTTTAAATGGAAATGGGACTGGTGAAGCCCTTTATCGATTAATATCCAAAGGAATTTTCCCAATAAATGGGGACATCGAGAAAACAGGTAAAATATTAAAGAAACTACATAATAAATATGTAATTACTTTACCATAATATGACATAATATGTCATATTATATATTATATATTGTTGACAAAGCAAC